TGACCTTCAAACAAATGCCGCCCAAACCAGCCAGAGAAGTTGCAGCTGATTATTGTGATCTGTAAATACATCGCGTTCCAAACATCAGGAAGATATCATTTTCTAAAAGAAACCAAAAAGATGAGGGGTGGGTGGGGGAGAAACAAATATATCCAAAAATGTGGTGAATATTTTGTGTTTGCTTTTTTTAAAAAAAAATCCAATGACATGTCTTTATAACAGAGAGAGATTAATGGAGTTGGAAGGGACCTTGTAGGTCATCTAGTCCAAGCCCCTCCAAAGCATTTTTTTTTCTTATTTGTTTATTGCGTTTGGATCTTAAAACTCCCATCTTAAAACTCTGGGCAGTCTCGATAGATGGCATAAGAAAGAATAAATAATTCAATGCCTTTTTTAAAAAAGAAATTGAAAGGAACGGAAATCTGATGCTAACGTTGTATTTGTAATGTAGCTCGCGGGCCAAAATCTCGAGAAATGGTTTGTGTAAACTTTTCTGGTACCTCCCACCAAAAATATATCTGGACCCTCCATAAGTTTGAAAATTATTCTTCCGAACAGCACTGGTCTGTTGACTTTGGGAGTGCGATTCCAGAAAATAATTGGGCTCCGAATCACCTCTCTCTACCCTTTTCTCCATTTCCTCAGGATGATGCTACCAATCGTTTTATCGCCTTTTCCGGGGAAGGCCAGTCCCTTCGCAAGAAAGGCCGAAAACCTTGAACTCTTAATGCTCGGACGACAATAAAATAATCCTGTAGCATTTCTGGCAAGACTGTTTGTATTCCTGCTTCTCGGGCATTGATAATTCGAACGGAAAATGAAAATAGGTTTCTGAAGAGCTTTCAGTTTTGAGAGCAAAGCCCCCACCCCCTTCCAGCACTGATGATGTGACTTAGTTGGGTAAAGAGATGTCTGCAGGAAAACAGCCAAGTTCGGAGAACACCAAGGACCTAACAGTCCTCCTCCTTTTTCTCCTCCTCCTCCTTTTTCCTTCTCCTCCTCTCCTCCTCTTCCTCCTCCTCCTCCTCCTCTTCCCATCCCGCACTAATGTTGTTATCTAGTTGGGTAATGAAACGTCTTCAAAAAATACCACCAAGCTCAGAGACCATTAAGGACCCAACACAGTCCTCCTGCTCCTCCTCCTTTTATTCCATCTGATGTAGCACTGATGTTGTTACCTAGTTGGGTAATGAAACATCCACCAAAAACCCCCACCAAGCTCATAGAGCACACAGATAAACCCTGAGCTACAAATATTTTTTTTCTATTGGGATATTTCATTTAAAGAAAGTGAAGCAGTGATAACTAACAGCAGCTTGATAACCATCTGGGAGCATTGGGCTCTAACACAAGGCCTGCCTGCCTGCCTGCCTTAACCTTCCCAGGAAGCAGAGTGATTCTGGTGCTGGGGGGGAATACAGATGACCCAGAGGGCAAGCTATCATAGCCCACTTCCCCAGCCAACATCAGAACAAATAACCGCTGATAATCTGTTGTTTAGTTTTCCCAAGTTTCATTGTCTTGAGGTTTCCAGGCTGAGAAACTCTGGCTCTTTCCAACGGCCAAAATTACATTCTTGTCAAATTGTTTTGCTTTAAAGAGAGCGAGGGTGCGAATTGTAAATAACACACTGGCCCAAACCATTAAAAAATGCAATAAATATTTTTTTTAACTTGAGTTCCAATAAGACCCTCCTGTCCCCACCCTACAACTACAATTCCCAGAAAGTCACATGGCTATACTGCTTCAAAAGGATCAGACTGGCAAAATTACATTATACTGATTTGTATTCATTGTTCGAAATTCGAAGCTTTAAGGGCCGTATTTGTATTTGTGTGTGTATGTATATATATATGTGTGTGTGTGTATGTATATATATATATGTGTGTGTGTGTGCATATATATATGTACATATACATTGTATGTATGTATGTATGTATATGGTATTCAGCTTTGTTCAGGTATTT